ATTAAAATTATATATATATATATATATGCTAACATGAATTTGACAATTCGATAAAATTTTGAAGGGAAATTGTTGCATATCGTACATCATATTTCTTCTTTCAATATTAGCAACATCTGAAATCTTCGATAGGAAAAGTAAAAAAAATAAGTCAATGTTGTTTCTTTAACAAATAAATACTTCTAATATGAGAACTACATTTTATGCAGATAATGAATTACATGTTATGAATTTCCTGTATCTTCAAAATTTATTATCTTTTGTATGTTGTATGTTTGTGTGTTTCATATTATATTATAAAATAAATAAATTTTAAGAGATCTTTGTAAAGCATGTAATATTTGTTGACATCTTTTAATAACTAAACTTTATTTTTTAGCACTTAAAATACATTATTTTATAATGAGTTATGATTAATCAATTATAAAGGTAGGGTCCCATGATTCAGCATTGATCCTATGAGAAGTCTAGACGAGCAAAGACAAATCATGAGCCATGCCGAGCTACGAGCTATAGAAAACCTTAACTTTAAAGTGTTACAACTGTTATAACTAGATAAATACAATAAAATATTTTATACTTATTATTTTTTTAATTTTTGTATGTTGGGACTTGCAAAATATATAGTTAAATAATGTTATTTAAAAGACGCACTTCTTCCAGTGCTATCTTTCTGAAATAAGCGTGCTTGTTTTTTTAAAAAACTTGCTGTTTCTTTTGGAAAATATTTATTTAATAACATATCTAATATATCTAATATATCAATATATCAAAATCTAATATATCAAAATCTTGCATTTTAGAGTTTTGAATTTCCTGCACTTTTACTTCCAATTTTACTATCTTCTATTTATACTTCCTTATTCGTTGATGTAGTAGTTTTATTGTAGTTTTATTATTTTATGTAGTTTTATTTTTCGTGGCATCATTAAGGATGAACCAGTTTGCATTTCCATGTCTGATGCTATCTTTATTTCTCTTTGTGCTGGATAAAATGTACCAATTCCTAAATTGTAATATTGCATTCATTATTAATATTTCTTATTGCTTAGCTGTAGATTAAACTTTTAAAAAATATAAACATATATAATTGAAATTTACTTGTAGATGTAATTTTTTCTTTAACAACCATTTGATTCACTCCAATGTTATTACATATAGTGAATCTACTTCATTTTGTTCCAAATTCCGAATATCGACGAAATACATTGTTACATCAGACAAATTCGGATTTGTTTCTTTATTTGCAAAAGCACATTGTATAAGTAAATATATACACATACACACATACGCGCGCGC